AAGCAGTACAGTTAAAGGGGCTATGCGCTAAATCTCAATCAAGTGGGTTGAACTGGTATTTTCTAGTTAACTACTCATTTCATTTACCTCAGCTTTCATTTCTTCAGTACTAACTAGATTTCTTTCACTCCAGTTTCTCCAGGGCCAATGTTTTGTTTGTAAGCAGCCAAAGAAGGCCCTCCCTGGTGGCGCAACAGGTTAGGAAACAGCTCTGCAAGCTGGTCGCAGCTCCCTCAGTGCGAGTTGGATCCCCAGCCCCAGAGGTGACCCACAGGCGATGCAGACCTCTCCTGACCCACCCGCTGCTCCCTTCTACAGTGTATTTCGTCCATCTGCTCCCCACTCTGTCTCTGGTGAAGCCTCTCACCACCCCAGCACCTCTGGCTTGCACCTCAGTTCTGTATGAATAAATAACTCTTAAAAAAAAAAAAAGTAAGCAGCCAAAGATCAGAGAAATATAGATCAACGACTATATAACTCATATTCCTTTATGAGACTTGGAGTCAACAAAATGTTGGACAAAGCATGAAGAGAGCTCATTCTTATGAAATGCTTTCAAATAGATGGTAAGCCAAGCTGTTTCCCCAAAGCAAAATTATAATCATTTTCACTATGTCATCTAGCAAAGCAATGTCATGTAAACCAAAGTTACATAATTGAATACTGTATTCTATTATGCTTTGGCATTCTGAAAATGGCAATTCTATATACATTTTAAAAAAAAATCTAGAGTGCCACATTAATCAGAAACTACAGTGCAAATGTATCAAAAATATAAGGGTTTTCACTGAAATTTGGTTATCTAAAATACTGAATCTACAGAAAAAATGACTTCAAGTAAATTCCCAGAGAAACATACCATGAAATGAAATTAAAACATAGTAGCTGCTACCAGAGAGACCTTTTAAACTCTGAGGTAAAAAAGAAGGTAGGGGGCCCTCCCTGGTGGTGCAGCGGGTTAAAGCACAGCACTAAGAAGCTAAAGCCACCACAGCATGAGCTCAATGTCAGCCCGAGGTGACACACATGGTGCCACAGACCTCTCCTGACCCACCCGCTGCTTCCCTCAGCAGTGTATTTCATCAGTAGGCCTGTTCTGCTCCCCACTCTGTCTCTGGTGAATCCTCTCACTGTCCCTGAACCTCTAGCCTGTACCCCAGCTCTGTATGCATAAATTTAAAAAATCATTAAAAAAAGACCATTAAAAAAAAAAAGAAGGTAGGGCTGAGCAACAAGACTCCAAAAGCAGTAGAACCACAAATGATTTGTTTATAGTCAAATACTTAACTAGCAGCGGTTAAGTAATAATACACTTGAACTACAAAAGACTCCAATCTGCTAAATTAGCTAAGATGGCTAAAATTCATTATAAAAATATGTAGCAATTTTAATGATATTGTACTATCTTATAATTTAGAGAACTTCTATGTGTTATCTTTTACTTTCCCATTTAAACAACCTACCAATATTTCCTGTGTGAGTTCCATGGTGAACTAGTCCACCAAAGGCTAATGATTACAAAAAGACTTGTGTGCATGATCCAAATCTCGGATATGATGGGCAAAACAAAGTTAAGTAAACTCCCCCCTCCCCACTCCATATGCCAGAATCTTTAATATCCTAATCTACTAATCTACATCTCTAAGAAAGGGGAGCATACAATATATAAATACTTCCCAAAGTTAGGCCTCAAGACCAGTGTCTTCATAATTACAGCTCAGGATAAAGCTGAGCTCGTAAAAACCTGGGAACATTATGTAGAAAGAACCTTACATGTCTAATGTGACTAATGGGAAGAATATTTGACTAAGAATATTTGGATTCTGCATTTAGTTTTGCTATCTGTTTTAACTCTGTGGTCTCAAGAAAAAGGTTTTATTGCAACTTAGTTTTCTCATTTGCAAAACTGAAATTAAAACTGAGTTACAACCTCTTTCAGGATTAAATAAAATATATATTAAATACATGAGTAGAGAAATAAAGCAATGCTGGAATAGGTTGGGGATGGAGAAGACTATTTGGTGATGTGACTGCAATTCAATGCTATTGTCAGAGCTTTGCAGTTTTACTATAATAGTGCACAGAACTACTGGATACTAATTACTTAGTGATGTGCCAAAAGGATGTACTTAGTTCACTTGAAACATAAGCAAAAATGTGCTGTTCCTTTATTGACAAATCAATGGGATAATTGTGGTATTCATTAAGAAGAATTACTGACTGATCCAACATAATAGTTTTACTTCCTATGTAAAATACTTCAAAATATCTAAATGAATATAGAAATGCATGTTTCTGTGGCAAATTGTTCATTATTGAATCATTATCAACCCTTGTTAAACAAAATTTCTCATTTTTCCAATGTGTAAAATCATTAAAGTGTTTGAGAGCTCCATCATGAAAGATAGTGGCACTTTATAATCCACTATTTCTTCAGGCAAATGTGCTTATGGCTGAACATAATATGCAAAATAACATCCCCAAGACATACAATTCCCTCCCCCTTCTCTTAATGGTTTTTTTTAATATGTTGACAGCAATGATGAAAAATGTTACTGCTTTCCTATCAGCTTTAACTGTTTCCAAACATTTGTCATTCACAGTACCATTTCAAATGCTTGTGATACTACTATGTACATCTAAGTCGTACCTTAACAATTTAGGATTTTAGCCTGAAACTCCTTTACACTATCAAATGGCTAAAGAATTAACTACTGAGCAATATAAACCCACACATCAGCTCAATTGGCTCATATCAAGTGGGACTGCCTGTTGCTATCACAGAACTGCTCTATAATTTAAGAGGCATTTATTCCTGAAAGCAAACTACTTGACAGGAGCTTGCTTAGACTAAATTGTAAGATACCTAATTTAACCATTTTTACAGAAAATAAGATAAAGGAAGTGTAGTAAATAGACATTGCCAATGATCACTGAAATCCTTTTAAACATATCTGCCTAATCTTTTTTAGAGTTATTTTGCCCCATTATAGGTAATTAAGCATTATTTAGATTACATTGTTAAAATTTGCAAAGAAAATATACAGTTAGCTGTACCTGACTGGCTATACAATGCAGTTCAGATGAAAATGGATCTATCCCATTTGTACTGTGAAAAAATCAATCTGTTTATGTATGTGCATTATTTTTATTTCAAGAATAATTTTCTATGTTGATTTTATACATAGCATATGGAATATTCTATCAATAATTATTTATAGGCTGAAGAAACCAACAAGCATATGTGCTCATAATCTGTCCAACTGAGAAAATCTCAAACTGAATTATAGGAATATTTTTGGGTATAAGCTTCCCAAGGTAAATGACTAATATATACATACTTCTTAGAAATCACTTAATTCCCACACTTACCCTCCACAACTTTAACAGTCACCTTGGCTTGAAGCCATACTAATGATGCAATTCTATAGAGCTTTACAATCATCTCTATGAGCTAAAAATAAAGGTAAGAACCTAAGTATAAAAAAGGGCAATTTCTACTTTTTCACATTTTGGAGTTACAGACTTAATGTAGGAAGCTTAGCACAATCTAAAATTTCAGAACAATGACTATAGCTTATTCTAGCATATTTATCATAAATTAAATGCTACCTGAAAATTAAAACACAAAAGGAAGTTATTTGGAGTGTCATACATATTATACTTAGATGGTACACTCAACAGAAAATTCAAAATATAAATTAGAAAGTATCCTCTGGCCAAAGTCTAGGAACTATTATTTTTTTCTAAATTTAATTGTAATTTTTACTTGGAAAGAGAGTTATGTATTTAATACCAGGTTTTCATCTGTATTTATGTTGAAATTACTTGTGATTTCAAAACACAAATGTCATTGCTGGTTAGGTTTTTTTTTTTTTTTACTCGTTACATAATCAATGACTATGACTTTAAACTAGTAAAATCTATACCAGAACATCAGTTATCATCTCCTCAGACACTTTACAGAGGATAAGGGAAATAAACAAAGACCATACAAAGCAAAACCATTTATAAAAAAAATTGCAGATCACCAGGATTTTGGATTTGGGTAATCCACTTAGATTAGCATGGCTGTGTCTTAAAAGGACAATTCTAAGATCATAATATAGGTCATATCCTTAAGAAACAGAGTAAGTGATGAAAAATGTCAATCATAAAAACCTGTATTTACATGATGCCCTTGACAACCAATAAGAAAGATTAAGTAAATCTTTGTAATGTGCTCAGCCCCAGCATAGGACAGAAAAATAACGCCATAAAACAGTCTTTTGAGTCAAGTTCTGCAAAATGGTAAAATTGTTGCTTAAGAAAAACATGAGAGAGAGAGAGAGAGAGAGAGAGGTATCCAAACTGGAAAAAAGAAAATAATAATAGGTCAAGCTTATCATTTCAAATTGAAGAGTCCTAAATTTGGCTAGGGGTGGGGTGGAGGGAGGAATGTTTTGCAGAAGATAAAGAGAGTAGTTAACCTTTAAGGTTAGATGGTAGATAATATTCTTCAAAGCACAACTTTACTTTGCAAAATAAAACTTAAAATCCCAGTAAGAACCTAAGCACTTAAAACAAAAACCACAATACCTAAACATACTACTAAGTTTTAATCAAGTAGTGCCAAAAGATCACCCAATCTGAGTAAACATCTGTCTAAAACATGCTTGCCATGTTTTAAATTATCACATACATAAAACTAGTAATATTTGTCATAAATATCTTAGAAACACTTCTCTGCTCAGAAAGAAGAAAGCATAAATGCTGAGGTGACAAAGACACTATCAGCTGACAGTTAAAATATTTTGACAACAATGACAATAATGCTCTAAGAGAGCATCCACAATTCTGGCTACTTGCATCTCAAACGGAGTTAAACAAGGAAAGCCTAGATATCCATAGAAACTCAGAATCTTTCTTCTACTTATGAGTCTCTCCTGAACAAGGGGATGAAAAATGTCTCTGACCAAAGAGGCTCTGAAAAAATTACTTGTAAAGAATTACCAACTTACCCATCAGATTTGAGTTCATGAAAGGTGTTGGGGACAAGCCTTCGTGGGCCCCTAATCGACTGTCATTCAAGTGATCACTGAAATGAGGGCTGTCTGTAAAACCCTAGGGGGGGGAAAAAAAGGCCAGAGTATTAAAGAGATTATTTGGCAGTTCTGCTAATTGAGCATAATGACACTCACCTAATTAATATACAGACTTACAACTGGTTATTCCTAATCAAGTTCCTTGTTCATTACTTGAAAAACTAAATTGTTGAAGTACTCCTTTTATTCTTCTTTAAGGTTTTATAGAAAAAAAAAGTTTCTTTACTGATCTTAAAGTAGTTCTACAATCTACTTATATGCAAAAGTTCTACAGATCATTAAAAAAGAATTAAGAAAACTTCTGAGTTATAATAAATTAGGAAAGGTTTGTTTATATCCTTTGTTTCTTCTCTAACAACATACTAATACAGTTAGACAGTTACAAATTTTACTTAAACTATAAAGAATAATAAACAATATGCAAAAAATAAATTCCCTAAGTATAAAATATTTAACAAAAAATGTATTTATATTTCTTTTAATACTAGTACAACAAAAAATACTTCCATAGAAAGTCATTTAAAAAGGAAAACGTAAGAACCAGTTGATTTAAATTAAGAGAAAATAAATGGCTACAACATAAAAATAAAGCTAATGTTATTAGTTTATAATAGCCGTTATTAAATTTCTCCTTAAGCTTAAAACATCCTTCTTAAGCAAATGGGGGTGGGAAGGAGATAGCAAAATTTACAAATATAATAATTGTGACAAAACCCCTGTAAATTAAAAACTGTTCTTGTTCTCAGACTTTTATATGTACAAAGGACAGCTTCACCTCCAAAATCATATGACTTTTAAACAAGGCTTTAAACCCTGTAGGTGATACCTACTCTTTTGACAACTAACACCATTTTAACAAAGATTAGAAAAACTCAGAAGAGGCCCAAATAAGAAAAACTGCCCAAGCTCACAGAAACCAGAAAAAAAAAAATCTCCTGGGACTGGGATTGATGAATCACTGAACATTTATCATTACCCAGACTTCTGGCTAACATTCAAAAAGACATTAATGGGGATGAAACAGGCCTCACTATCTTTGCAAGCATGCCTGTCAGTTCAACGAAAGGGCTAGGAACTGAGGGCTAAGTAACTGTCAAACCATTACAATTTCTTGTGGATGCATGTCACAACTCCTTCTGCTGTTCTGTTTTAAAACTAACCTTCTGGGAGTGCTAACTCCCAACTGAATCTTTGTTTAAATTTTATCTCCTCTTGAATCACTGATACACATGTGATAGACATTCAAGAAGAATTTAGATGACATTACAACTTGGTTATGACCACAAGGGTGGCATGTCCTTTGGTAATCACAACCTTAGTCCCATTTGCCATATCAACATGCAGTAGGAGCTATGTAAAAACAGAATATCTCCTAGCTAGGGCCACTCCTTTAAGTTTAGTTTTGTTGCTTAAAGTTTCACACTCTTGAAATACCAAGTGACATACTGCTGTATCACATACATCTGGATTTCTTTCCGCCTCTCCCTCCCATCTTTAGGCATATGTAGTCAAAATAAAGCACTGAAAACTGTTCAACAATCACTGAAATACTGTTTGTATCATTAAACAATATATTACTGTAGACAAGAAGCCAACAAAAATTCATTTTCAGGTTAGTTACACTGTTCACACATCAATGAAAGATTAATTTATATGTGCTCAATTCTCATCTCTCGAAGTAAAATAAAAATATTTCCTTCATGACTATGAATATAAAAACACTAAAGTTTAAAAACAGTATTTCCTAACCCCAACCACAAACATATCTAGCTGTAGGACATCCTTAACTGAATGCATACAGTGCATTAACATCGTAGATTGTATGTTTAGCATAGAGAGTATCTATCGCTAAGCGTCCATAACTATTTGCTCAGAGAACACAAGAATAAAACATACAAAAATAAGAGTGTTACTATTATCTGTATGCATTCATATATACAGGGCATAGTATAAAGTTTGTTACAGGATTATTTCCCAGTGTACTCATAAAATTTGGGACTGTCATTCTACAACACAGAATAGGAATCTATATAAACATAAAACATACAAGCAAGATCTGAGTAAGAACCCTTAATATATTTAGTAATAGTTACACGCGCATTTGTGTGTATATACAATATACTATTAATCCACATATCAAATACCAGTAAGGAATAATTTCCCTCATTTAAGTTGTGTGTATATACAATATACTATTAGTCCACATATCAAATACCAGTAAGGAATAACTTCCCTCATTTAAGATAAAAGTTAAATCAAATTTGAATCTTTTTTCTAATACCTCAAAGGTTCTTAGTGAAACTAATACTGTAGGAAGGAACAAAGAAACTGTAATTTTAAATTTCATAGTTTTAAGGTCAAATATATACCCAAATCTCACTTAAAAAGCTAGAACTGTTTAGTGTTTGAGAATGTTCTTGTCACTGCTTCCAAACAGTGCTATCTATAAAGAAAATAATTTTGGTAAATTGTAATTCACCAGAAATTTTGTAAATTACAAAATAATTTACATTTAAATAAGATCAATATGTATTTAAGGTCAATTTCAGAAATGTACACAGAATTCCTCAGTCAGCACTTATGCGTCAACTAGCTGGATGATATCAAGAACAGAGCTGTACAAACTACAATGTTCACAAGAGTTGGCTAGAGAGCTTGTTAAAATGCAGATTAAGAAGCCTATGGTATATTCAGTATTTTAAACAGATGATGTTGATGCTCCTGGTTCACAAACCACGCTTCTCATAACAAGAATCTAGACTGTATGGAAATAAAGATCTCCTTCGTATGTAAAGGAAAAACTGAAGCCTAGAAAGGTGATAGCCAGGTATTCCCTCTGCCAGAACTTCATTGAAATGGGAAGTTTCTCGTTAAGTATAAATTAGGGGAAACCCCTTCAATCAGCAATTAGAAACAGGTATTTTTATAAATGTAGATTTTTTATCCATACAAGTTTAAGTAGAACACTGATGTCAAATAGAGGTTTAAAAGAGATTAGTTGATCAACTAGAAGTTTAAATAGCAGACACCTACACACTATATGGAGTTAGATAATGAACATGGATACCCACAAGCAGACAAGGTAAATCGCAGGGCTGATAAAAAGCAGGAGAGGGCAAACAGCCAGAGCAAAAGAAAAAACAGCAGAAGGTGACAGAACTTAGAGAAAGGCTGATATGACAAAAAAGGAACAAAAATCAAAGAAGCAATAATTAAGTACTCTAAGCAGGTCAGCCAATGGGACTAATAAATGAATGTTATTTCAATTTTGGAATATAAAGGAAATAAACCATTGAGATCATTAAATACAGAACTATCATGGTGCATATCTTAAATTGATAGGGAGTTATTATGCTAATAAGAAGGGTCAAACCTAACTTCCTTGGGCTCCCAATTAACATCTTGAATTTGTAAGCTGTTTCACCATGAAAATAACCACTAATAAAAATGAGATTTTGACACACGAGAGAAGATAAATACTACAATATGAAGGATAGAGTAATACTACCAGAATGATCTATCATAGTAGCTTTTAAGCCCACTATGCTGCTTCTAACCACAAAAACTGTTCTAAATATGCCCTAAAGAATTTCCTGTCTTATGATAAAAATGGAAAGAACTAAAACGATTAGTGGATAAATCAGTTGGTACACTGATTATAAAAACTGTTCAGTTCTCTACTTAAAACTGTCTAAATTACAATTTAATTTGCCAATCTTAAATAGTTCCATCTATGACAGTTAACACTTAACAAAAGCTTTGAAATGCATGCTATAAAATGTACTTTACACTCTTCTCCATCTTCACTTGATGGCACAGAATTTAGAAATATTAATCCCTACGAGGATATGACAACAGACATGAAATGATTAATCAAAGTTACAGATTTAAAACTAATTTAAACAGCATATAATCGATCAAATCTTTTGTCTTATCAAAAACAAAAGCCCTAATATTTCTTAAGTGTTTAGTCTTCTCTGATTTGTGTCCTCAAGAATCTTTCATTTGAATTTTTTAAATAGCTCATTAAAAACTTTTCTTCACCTAATTAAAAACTTTTCTTCACCTAATTTGTTGGTGTAACAACCAACAAATCTCCCAAGTTGAAAATAAACTCAAGATTACCTTAGTCTATGTTGCCTTTTCTTCGTATGAAAATCACTGTCTAAATACATTTTGAAATATTTATAATTCTTATCACTAGCTAAAAGGGGAAGGAAAGGAAAAAAGCTCTTTCAGTGAAGGTTTACTTTCTCAGAAAAGTTTTCCATGACCCAAATAAGACCAAATTAGTTCAACACATTCTGACCTATTACAGCAATGAGCATTTCGGTCATACCACTGTTCATATATTCCCCATTTAGCTATTTACTTAAATCATATCATAATTATCTGTTATACTTGCACAGTACAGTGTAGTAGATAAATGTGAAATATTTGCAGCCAGACTGGTAAATCTGAATTCCATCTTTGTTACATACTAATTGTGAATTGGAGCAAAGTAATCTTGATTACCTCAATTCCTCATCTGTAACATAAGGATGACGATAATAATACTATCTTCATTTCACAGCATGCTGTGACCATTAAATAAGCTATTATATGGAGCAAATGGGAAAATATCCTGTACATAGTAAGCACACAATAACAAGCTAGACGTTATTATTATTAACAGAGATTGTTATGTCCTACAAATTTTGAGAAGGCAGGCACCATGTCTGCAATTTTCACAATTATATCTTCAGAACAATAGCTGTCATACACATAGCAGGTGCTCAATAAATGACAGATGGATAGGAGGCTTCAGCTGTTAAATGTTTAAAATGCTGCAGGGCTTTTGATATTATAAATTTTAAGTCAGCTTTTCAGAGAATATGCAGTAATGAGCAGAAAGTTAATAAGGTACGGGCTTATCTAATTAGATTGAACAAGTAACCACATTTAATATTTAAAGAACCAAAAATTTCACACCAAATATTAAGATTCTATAGTATTCAAAAGTGATCAAAGTCAGTACAC